TGATAATTTAACAGGAGGACATCTCGGAATTAGGAAGACATTGAGTCACCTACGACAAAGAAATAAGTGTATCGTGAAGTTATATTCAGAAAGAATAAACCAGTTTTATTAAGTAAGGACTTGTGTCGTTAAGTTTCGTCGGAACGAAGTTACGGAAAGTTAATTAACAAACGGAGACGTAACAGTATGAACGCCTTTTCCAAGCTGGCGAAGAATAATTTAAATTAATTATGCTTGTCATAAAATATTAGTACTCGACTGTTATGAAGTGTTAAAAATATAATAGGCCTAATACTAATGTCTTATGACAAGTATGATTAATTAACAAAGAATATTATAGGTCCAAAGGTGGACAAACCTTCTTCAACAGTTACGAATTCTCAAAGAATCTCTGTCCGAAAACGTTGGACAGAAGAAGTCTTTATTGTTTCGCTAATTAACAAGCAAACAAACAAAGAATCGTATATAAAACAGAGACAAAGAGGGATTAAATATATATTTGTGTTATACATTGTACAATAACTATTTTTAGGTAACGTAACTACTAACTGATGTAAGTACTGTTCACTCATGATTAGGGTTAATATCTCGTACAGTCTCAATTTCATGTTACATTTTTTTACTTATTTGTAAAAGGGTAACGAAACTGTACTGGACTAACCTGAACGATGAACACTTAAAAACAAAAGGAACTTGACATTTGTAGGATTTGCACGTGGATATGGACCGATCACTTACTTAGTGCAGTAGAATGAGTTCTGTAGTTATAGAATCAATGACATAAATCAGGTTTTAGTAGACACTGACTTATTTTATAGTTCCTGTAGCTACAATTCTGACAAGAAAACAACTAAACTGATAGGTGCAGCTACTTTAACACGTCAGTATAAGATGTAATTAATATTAGAAGTTTATCCAAGTTGTTAACAGAAGAAACATAAAAGGTAGAATGAAATTATTTGATAAGTTCTATGGGGTTTCGACTCCGTTTTACTTCAACACATAGTAACCGAAGTTTATTTAGGTATGTTATGACATTTTAAGGAATTAAATATTCGATATTATATACAGCGGACCAACTGTTTAATGATTGTATATATGTGTTAAAGATTTATTTTCTTTCTCACCAAGGTGAAGTTGAAAAGAAAATCTGTGACGTAGAGACGTAATGCATCCCTTGATTGGCCGTACTCTCTGCTGTGGACTGCAGTTTCGCCAATTCAAGGCTCATCAGCACAGCTTGGGTCAGCAAGCCAAATAAATACAGCGAGGCCTATTGTAATGGGGAAGAGTATATGATATTAAGATGTGCTGACGAGACTTGAATCGGCGAAACTACAGTTCACAGCAGAGAGTACGGCCAATCAAGGGAGGCATCGGGTCTCTACGTCACAGATTTTCTTTTTCAACTTCACCTTGGTGAGGAAATGTTTAACATATAAGTACAATTATTTGTTAATGTGATGTGTATTATATCATAAAATAAACAATAAGAGTCAGTGAGATTATCCATCATCAGCGGATATTAAAAATACATCACAAGGCGTGAAGGATGCTGTTTTAAATCATTTCGAGACATTATGACAACACTTACTTAACAACTGCATTACTACGCCAACAGATACATAAGAAATGTATTATCGTAACGTATTTAACAATTGCGTCCATAGCAACATATCCTTAACTGCGTTACCATGGCAATAGTTACTTAACAACTGCATTACTACGCCAATAGATACATAAGAAATGTATTATCGTAACGTATTTAACAATTGCGTCCATAGCAACATATCCTTAACTGCGTTACCATGGCAATACTTACTTAACAACTGCATTACTACGCCAACAGATACATAAGAAATGTATTATCGTAACGTATTTAACAATTGCGTCCCATAGCAACATATTACCATGGCAATACTTACTTAACATCTATTTTATGATAAATAGGCCCGGCATGGCCAGGCGATTGGGG